AGCGTGTTATACTATCGTGGTGATTTTTGAGTTTTTTCCTATCTTCTTCTACAGTTTTGGTCCGATTGTTTTCAAATTGATGTCGTCGGAAAGATCTGGTAAACGCGCACAACTCCAGCAATAGTTCAGATTATTTTCTTCACTTGTTTTAAACTTATAGCACTATACCGGGACTTTTGGGAAACCCTGTATACTATAGTCCGTGATCCGTCGCACTTTACATAGGCCAATGCAATCCCTAAATATTAGTTTTTGGCGCGGCGATGCCGATTTTATAGATTAAAAATACCCCCATTTGCTTCAAATCATATTCCGATGACATTTGGCATCGCTGTTGACCCTAAGAGCCTGTACTGTAAAGTCAAGGTGAGGCGGATTTATAGTACCTACTGGGTGTAACAATTAAATCGAGGGTGTAAAACGTTTCCCTTGTTAAATTATCACATAAGAGCTTTGAAAATAACGGATATATTTAGATTTTGGGATATGCGCTTTCTGATTTTGAAAAACCTTTCACATTTCCTTCTCTAACGTGGCGTCCCCCAAAACTACCCTCAATTTTTTATCCGGGAAGCTTTCAACTGCAATTCTTTAAAAAAGATTAGGACTAGGAATCTGGGAATTCTCGAATGCACTTTAAAAAATTTCCCTCGAGCTACGTAAGTAAACCTAAATACGACGGAATTTGAAATTCGACTCCAACACGTTGAAACATTTCATCTTCATAATGTAGTTGTAGCAATACCAGCATTGGGTAGTGGTTACCACGGTTACCAAAGGCTACCGATGACGACGAAAGGTGTCATTTAGTCAGGGAGGGCCACTTTCCAGTAAAACCTCTCCTTGCTCAGACAAGAAGCATTTCGTGTAATAATTGAGTTACAAGTGCTTTTCCCCGCTGAATCCGATCCTGCCTTATTCAAGATGGCGGTTATAAAAAACGCCGATGTTCCTCTTCCAACAAAATTTCTTCGCTCTTTGAGAGATATGAAGAAAAGTTGTATGCACAAGTTTTGGGGTTCTTCAATGTCTACTAGGCAGTAAAGTTAAATATACAGGGTTGGTCATAAAGGTGTGGCACCCCAAAATTGCATTTTTTTGGAACACCCTGTATATTATTCGATATTTCAATTCTTCGCTTAATGTTAAGCAAAATTTCTAAGAAGCGTAGTGTACCTAAATTCAATTGTTTCCGGGTTATCGAGTTTTCAAAATAAACGCCGATAAGTTTGGAGATTCAATTGTCTCAATTATCAGGGAAAATATACGATGTATCGAAAAAAGGTTTATACATTAGTTTTAGGGTTTTTCAATGTCTACCAGGCACTAATAATTTTAATTATACAGGGTTGGTTATAAAGGCGTGGCACACCAAAATTGCATTTTTTTAATGTGCGTTTATTTTCAAAACTCAATAAACTGGAAACGATTGAATTGAGGTGCATTATGTTTTTTTTACAAATTTTTCCTGAAATTGAAAGAAGAATTGAAATATCCTATGATTATTAAGGTGTTCCATTAAAAAAATTCAATTTTGGTGTGCCACGCCTTTATGACAAACCCTGTATGGTTAAACTTATTACTGCCTAGCAGGGACCCGGACCGGACCTAAAAGAATCGAAAACCGGACCGAAACCGGTATTTTTTCTGGACTGAAAACCGAACCGAAACCGCTATTCCCTCAGAAATGGAAACATATTGAGAACCGGAACCCATATATTACTTTTTTCGGTTCCTTTCGGTTTTTTACGGTTCTTAACAGGTTATTGGAAGTTGAAGGCAACCACGTCCTGAAAATTGATAAAATATTACCTACTCTATGATTGCCATCGGTGGATTATACATTTTTAATAAGGTGTCGAAATTGAAGGCATTACGGGTGGCGGTGGCGCTAATTTAGCCACTACTTAAAAAAAATAAAAAAAGAGAGGCGAGGTTTTAAAAAATAAAGTTTTCTGTTTTTTAGTAATAAATTAAGTGTAAATACAGATTTCCCTCTCCTCCTTTATTCCCCTTGTCGTTATAAATTAACTACACTGACGATACGTCATGTTTTGGTATTCATGACATTTTCTTCACACCTATTAATTAAAAAATCACGTTGTTATAAGGAATTTTTTGAATGTCAAAAAAATGCGCAGAATCGAACCGTTATTTCTTTTTAGAACCGAAACCGGACCGGAACCATTATAAATATTTTCGCGTCGATTTTCGCTTAAATATAAACAGAACCGGAACCGATATTTCATTTGGGTCTGGGTCCCTGCTGCCTAGTAAGACATTGAAGAACCACAAAACTTATATATACATTTTTAGCGCATTTTTGAAAAAAATACGCTATTATATTCGTCATTGCTGGCAGGCCGGCTGTCCGCGTTAGATCTCCACAACTACAATAGCTAGAGACTTCAAATTTTCACTAAAAGCTTTCTGCTATAGTGTAGATGTGCAGGCACTAGTCTATTTTGAGTTAGATTACTTGTGAGATCGATAATTGAAGAAAATAATTTCGATATGGGTTTCGGAGGTGCTATAATTTTACCGTTAGATAGCGCTACCAGTATAAAAACTTATTATTTACTTTGTGATTTGTTTTACAAAATGAAGACGTACCGTCAATTGAAATTAAATAAAATTAATTATTTAACGCAGCCAAAATTACTCGTGAGATCGATAATTTTAAACTTTAATACTGACCTGCATTACCAAAAATGCGCTTTAATCATGCATATGCTGATTTACAACTTGTTTTGATACATTGTATATTTTTCGCGATAATCGACCGTGTGACTTATCACTTATCAGCGACCCTATATATGAAAAATCGCGGTTTTTCAGTTCCCGTTACATTTTTTACCGTTCCACTGTGTTCCTGGACACCAAAAACCTACGCCAACATATTTAGAAACTTGAATGTAAGTGCATTCTCGAAAAAGTTAGAACAATTCAAATATATCTGGCGCCATTTCAGCCGAAATATGAGAAATCACGTTTCTAGCATACCCGAACCCATTTTTACCACCCGCGGGTTAGTGAGAGAGTTAGCATTGGCGTAAAAAATGACCCCTCACTTTTTTGCCGGAAATACACGTTTTGAAGCACCAGGAATCCGAATCACACAAAATCTCGGTGATGTCGATTGGTCTGTCTGTCTGTACTCTCATTTCCGGTTAAACGACTAACTGGATGGAACCAAATTTTGTACACATATTATGTAGTCCATTGAAATGTTACATTTTTTTGGGTTTAGCGTGCGTTTGTCAGAGGACGCGATTTTATTTTTTAGATATCAAGGAGAGGTTAGTCTAAAGTTAAAGCCAAGTTTGTGGGGTTGCACCCCTTGTCCCGCGGCCACCATCTTGAAAAAAGGGGTGCAAATGGTTTTTATGGTTTATCTGACAAAATATTGGTCTCACAAAAAATTTATTCAGACATTTTTGAATAAAAATAAAATTCTCTACAACTTTGGTCCAGTAACTTTTAGTCGTAGAACCAAAAGTAACAAACTTATAAACGACAATAATTGATGAACATTTTGTAAACAATTTTCAATTGGTCGTTATAACTTTTTTTCTGGTCATTTTACAAAAAAAAACGGCATCGGAGCATTTTAATAGAGCGGTTTTCAAGGAATAATTTTCATTACAAACTTTTTCAATTTTATTCATTCATTAAGATTTTATAGCGCTCCAGTATTAAACTATACATAAAAATTAATGATTTTACGTAAGTTCCTAATGTTTTAAATGGCATGACATTATTACTTCCTTGGTCTTTTTGATGGACCAGGCTGCAGATCATGACTTTGTTGATTTTCAATATCAAATAGTTGAGGGATAACCGGAGAAGGAAGTGGCGTCATTGTCGGCGGTTCATCTTCAAAATCATTTTCTTCAATTAATGTTGATATGTCCGAATATTAGAATCTCAGAATGTTTAGCCCCATATGTTATCCCAAATATGATAAATCGCGTCTTTCACTTCTGGTCTCATTTTTGATCATTCCAAAAAAAGTGAGTCTTGAACTGTAAAAATCGGTATGAAGTATTGATGATATCCAAATGCGAAGAAGCAAAAGATAAAAGATTTCCAAAATGAGAAAATGTTAATTTTAAGGATCTCTAACTATTCCTGAAGATGGTTGAATTTGATTTTGCCATTGCATAAATGAGTAGCTGTGTGCGATAGGAATTTGACTGACAAGGACTTCAAACTGGTTACAAATATTTTCTAAATTCATTTTCTATCGTAATTGACAATAAAAAGATCGCAAACTATTACGCATGATGCGTAAGAATACCATTAGTTCCCGCGTGTATTCGTCGTGTGAAACTTCTACGAAGGTGGGCGACATAAATAAAAATTTATCAAAACTGGACAATCTCCAAATACTTGACATAGTAAGGAACTACTCGAGTTTATTAAAGATTCATGAATATCATGTAGGTGTACGTACTGAAATCAACCATAGAAATTCCTTGGCGATGTTCGAGAAAACAATCTAATCAACGATCGGGTAGCGGTGGTCACCGCCGCCACATTCTCCAATCAACTTGACCCGTTCAACTTTAGAGGTTATGCGCACGATCCCAATTCCTATTGCATACTTGCATTTTCCGTTACGTAATTAAACCACCTTCCAAATTCCATTCAGTTTTTGCCTTATCAAATTTGCCTTTCACTTCATTCGTTCAGAAATCTCGTAGGTGCCCCAAAGCGACATGTCATGCTAAAAGCCCTTACTAGTTCATGAATAAAACGATACAAACTTTTAAGGGTTGCAAATGAAACGCTTCCGACCCTCGCTTTTTAAAAATGGTTGCTTTGATCCCATTTACTCCATATATGGCACTTGTTGGATAATATTCACAGTCATTCATATTTTATGCCGAACTCATCACAACTTAGTTCTATTTAGACACACCTAAGAACTAAAGTAAATTACCTTACCAACCACACATTTTTTACGTAAATTAGATACACAACATAAACCTTATCGACAAGACTAATTAAAACACGAGCATAACTAAAATTTTGCAATAATTCCGCCTTTATTGCTGCCTTATCAAGGGAATTTAGCTTCGAAACGTGTACACAACAACCACAATGATTATTTGTTAAAGAATTAACGTTTAGAGACTTTCGAGGGCTTCCCCTACGACGTGAGACGTCCGTGACATCCTGACAGTTTACCTAGTTAACAGATGCTTAGTGCGCGTTTAAGAAAAAGGCAGTTTCCAACATTTCAGTCAGGTAAAGGGGCGAACGTTTTCAGTTACACACAAATAAGTAATTCACTTGATCGGGGCATATAAAAGTCAAGCTAATCTACAACTTAATACGTATCGGAATGTAATGTATTCATCTGTACCTGAAGGTTACATAAAGGTTTTTCCACGTTGCGATTTTCTACTTGTTCTGATACGCGTCACAGAATACATATATTGTGAATTATTATTATGAAAGTAAAAACCGCTTTATGTTTACCGATGTTACACAACAATATAATTTCAAGATTAAAAAAATGATCATTTACGACTTGATTAATAACGCATTAGGCTACGTAAAATTAGCAAGTAACAACTTTTAGTAACGTTTACGCTCTCCTGCCATTCGGTACTGCTGAAATGACTACCTTGAATAGAATTTCCCAATTATTTTCGCAATATAATAAGACAACACATATCTAGTAAAAACCCTGCGAGGCTTACATTGCAACCGAGAAGAGAAATCAATTTACTTCAATACAATCCACCGAGTTGTGTTCACTGCATTTCATAAGGGACCCTTTAAACAAATTAAAGAATTGTGTCTGTGTAATTCAAGATAAGCAATTATTTAGTGATGGAAGACGATAAAACCGGCATAGAACTGCGACAAATCGCGCCCGTCCCGGCCATGGACACCCCCAAGACGTCGTCGAAAATAAAAAGTTGCATCAAAACCAATTTATTAACAATATTAACAGTTTGTGGGGTGATTTTGGGTGGGCTTTTAGGATTTTTACTGAGACAGTTTTCGGACGAAAAATGGACGGAAAGGGAGATTATGTACATAAACTTTTTTGGAGATCTCTTCCTGAGAATGCTGAAATCTTTGATTTTGCCGCTGATAGTGTCTTCATTAATATCGGCAATTGCGCGGTTAGATATCACGCTTTCTGGAAAAATTGCGGCGAGAGCCATCGGGTATTATATAACGACCACGTTTTGTGCCGTTATCATTGGAATTATATTGGTAGTCAGCATCAAACCGGGTGAGATGGGAGACAAATCTAGCCAGGAGGGGCAAACTGGGGCGTCTAATGTGAGAAATGTAACTACGGTCGATACACTTTTGGATTTAATAAGGTGCAGTATACAACAAAAGGAAATGCGAATCTATAATGCTCTTGATTTCAGAAATTTATTTCCGCCAAATCTAATACAAGCTTGCACTGAACAGGTAAGAAAATCACACCTGACTAGGACCACGTGTTTATTGCAAAACAATAGCAGATAATAAACCTGCGTCTGGATAATTAGGTTCAGGAAACTCCCTACACTTGTTATTCAAAAAATTCTCAATGTGGTCGTATTATAGACTACTAATGACTAAAAATCCAAACTTTTTACGTAACGTAACGTGGGAAATACTAAACAAACAATCTGGGGGATGTCCCTAAGAGTTCCATTTGTTTTGAAAAACTTTAAAAATAGATTTAATAGGATCTTTACAAAAAGCTATCAAACAAACATGTTTTTTAGCGCATTTTTTAAGAATTAAAAAAAATGTACTATTGTTTTAATATGAGAGGATATGTTTATTTAATTTCCTTATCCAGGAAAACAATAACGAAACGCAATATACTGGCAATTTTGGTAGTGGTTTGAACGTTAAAAAATGAGTGAGGTAAGATTTGAACATAGAAGCATTATAACATTTTTAACTAAAGAGGATACATACCCAAAAATTATTAATGAATGAATGTCTATGGCGAGAATGATCCATTACATTATTAAGTAAAATTCTGGTCGAAACAATTGGAGTCGAAATACCATACAAGATGACCCAAAATCTGGTTCGAGCCTTTCGAGAGAAAATACCTCAGGATTTTATCGATAAGTCCATACTCCACATGACAATTACAAGGCGCTCAACAAGTTCGACAAGTTATTTTGCCTTAAATTCCTTTTCATTCATATAGGCTAAAAACACACAAGACGTCGCGTCGTCTAGTATAAAAACAGCCAAATCAATCACTCAGGTAGCCACTCGCTTTGCCCTTTTTCTTCGCATGGGCTAGATAGAGATGAAAATATAATAGCATAATTTGTGTACACCTCACAGGCGACTAGTTTTGCAGTGGGCGGCTACCTGCGTGATTGGCGTGACTACGCTACGTCTACTCGGTTTTCTTGTTCTTGTTCTTCACCCGAGATTGTTTGACGACGAGGAAATTTTTCGTTGGGGTATATGGCCCTAAAAACTATTACCACGAAAAAGTATGAGGAACCGCAGGTTTTGGATACGGCATAGTTTAAACAAAAATCTTTAAAAAAAACTGAAAGTAAACTATTAAGTGATAGCGGATAAAAGCAAACAAAATACAAAGATACCACGTAATCAATGTACCGTTCGATACAAATATTCTAAAATAACTAAAAACACATGCCGCACTGGTGCAGAGTACAGTGACTGTATAGGGACAGTGGCGACAACTTATCATAATCCGCCATATTGGGGCAAAAAAATTATTTGATCGTAGAATCAATAGACCTTATCATGTCAAATTGTGACCGTATAATAATAAATGTCAGTTTGATTTAAAGATTCTTGTTCAAAACTAACGCCGCAGAAATGATCACTTAAAACTTCGCAGAACAAGCTATGAGGAAACTACTGCCCCCAAATTCAAAAGATATATGCAAAACAGTATAATAACTAATAAGTATAAAATATGGTGCAATATTCAAAATGTACGTATAAAGGCAATTATTAATCATTAAATTATGTTTGTGATTTCACTATTTCAGGGTGTTCTGTCACTTTTTGCCCCTGGTCGCGTTTTTCTCTTTCTGGGATAAAAAGTATCATTGAGCAGCATAATCAATAATCATCTCTTCGAAATTCATTTCGATTGACTTTAATCACTCCTAGCTATGTATATATAGAACCGAATGTCCACAACAAACATTTTACCTTAAGCAGCATCTTTATTCACAGGATTTCGCAAGAACACACCGGAACACACAACAAAAAGTGTAAACCCCATACCAAAGTATAGCAATTTAGCCCCAATATGGCGACCGGAACCAACGACCAATCAAACACGACATATCCGGTTGTCGCCACTGTTCTAAATTGAGTCACTGTAGTTCAGACAAACCCTGCCCGCCTGAAACCCCTTTGATATTTTCCGACATTTGCCCGCTAGCAAAATTATTCCGGCGGCCGATGCTAGCAGCCTCGAAAAGATGTTTCTGTTAATTTTTCTTCGGCAAAAGTTGTGTCGTCGGCCTAGCCCAATTTGATAAGAGTCTCGCCTTTATAACACACACGAAGCGGTAAACCGTTCGGCTTGTTGTGACTGATATCAAAAATGGATTTACCCGACTGCATATTTATCAACAATTCAATATCATCCATTTTAAAGATACAAGACAATATTTAAGAAGATTCAGCAGCCGACTCGGCGAAACCCGACTTTGTGTTTTTAGCAATATAGGTAGATTTTCAACAACATATCTCCTTGTATATAAGGTGACCAAAAATATACAGGTTATCTTATTTTGGTTGAGACTTCAGTAGTGTATTTCAGCGGATTTTAAAGATAGAGACTTGCGGTTTTCGCGACCCTTTACCACTTTTTTAGATTTTTACGTATAACTCAGTTCCGTAGTAAAAAAATTTGGACCAGTTTCCCAGATTTGATCCAAAGTTGGTATTTTTTTAATGCAACACCCTGTATACTTTAGCGTCAATTTTTTTGCATTGTTTTTCGTGATTACATTGAGGAATTTCGCCGTGCCACAGTAAAAAAATTTGCACCAGTTTCTCAGATTTGATCCAAAGTTGGTATTTTTTAAATGCAACACCCTGTATACTTTAGCGTCAATTTTTTTGCATTACTTTTCGTGATTACATTGAGGTATTTCTTTTTATATTATTATATATTATATCATATTTTTCAAAATTGTCAAATGGCATGTTTCTACCATCAGCCATTTTTATTTTTTCTCTCTCTCTTTTTTTCTATCAATTCTTATTTACTTATTAGTAAAAAAAGGTTTTCATGGCTAAAATTAAAAAAAATACGCAATTTTTACCTTTTGTCTATCTTACATGGGTAGTAAGATACGATAACATCCCAAAAGTCACACTTTTCGTTTTCACTATCAATGCATCTCTGAAACAAACGTAACTATTGATTCTGTTTGTGGTATTAAAAATTTGACAAAGTGCTACAGGGTCGCGAAAACCGTTTATCTTTAAAAACAGCTGAGATACACTGCAGTCTCAACCAAAATAGGTGGTCCAAATTGCACACTTTCTTATGGAAACACCCTTTACTTTAAGAGAAAAAATTATTGCATTTTATACATTAAAATATTTTTATTGCAGGCATCTGGGTTTCCATAGCGAACAAAAGATGGCAGGACAGTTTAAAACGACAATTTCTCGGTTATCTGGAAATGTTTATTAGTTCCAAATATTTTAAATTTCAAATAACACACAAAAAACAAACAAACATGTGAATAAAAAAAATAAGTAATATAATATATAAATAAATAATTGAAGTAAATAAGAAATTGTCGTTGAAATAATGCTGCTATTTGTATTGACTATGGAAACCTAGATCTCTGCAATAAACATATTTTAATCAATATTGCAAATAATATTTAATATAAATATAGCAAGTGATACATCAAAACTTACAAACTTTGTATCGCAATGGATGCAGTGCCCTAAGAAAGAGAAAATTAATTAACTTTAATAATAAGAAAGTTATGGGGCATTAAAGAAATCGACTAAATTCGAAAAAGAATTAGACATAGCTGAATTCTGTTTGCGCCAGTTTCCTTTAAAGTTGAGCTTCAGACACCTAGGTTCATTTTTTTCTATCTCTTAATAAAGGGTGTTTCCATAAGACAGTGTCCAAATTGGACCACCCTGTACAGTACATTGTACAAAACAGAAAATTCATGTTCCATTTTCTACCCCTGCACTTTTTCGATGCGCCACTGGTAGATCGTGAAACAAGAAATTAAATTTCTGATTTGTTTAAAGACATTTTGGTCTCTTGAAATGTTTTCGTATCTGTAATAGTTATCGAGAAAAAAAATAAAAATCAATTTTCCGTAATTAGATAGGTAAAAGTATGATTTTTAAAATGGGTTGGATAATATATTGTAATAAAAATTAATTTTGACAGTTGGCATTGAAAATTGTGTTAAATTGTAATTGGGTACCGTGGAAGTATAACACACTGTAGATCGCTAACGAAGCGTTTGTGCACCTATGTTTATGTGAACTTTGAGTCAAAAATAAGGCAAAGAATTAATCCCTTCTGTATTCTCATCATATTTAGGAACACCCTGTATATAGGGCGCTTCAGAATACCTGAGTGAGCCACTGTAGCCCCATATAAAAAAAATTGATTTAACGGTATAAGCTTGATAATTTCAAAATTGTTTTAAAAACGTTGTTATTATTGAATAAATTCGACAAATCGATGTTTGTAGTAATTAATGACAAACTAGATTAAAAAATAAGGTGTAATTAATTTTTCGATCAACCTCTTATAAACACCCAAAACCATTTATCAACAGTAAAAATGGTCAAATGCAAAAACGTATAAATACAATGGGTGTGTTATTTAAATTTCGAAATTTAGAGCAACTTCCTGTCAAACCGGAAGTGAAAGAAATATACTATTTCGAACATTCAATTCGTTTTTACTCATTGTACGTGGAAGAGCCAATTATCTGCACTTTTTTTAATTTTATTTACACGGCTTTTTAATCAAGTACAGGGTATCCTGTTAATAACGGTCACAGGCCATATCCATGGAATCGTTAATTGCACAGCTTGGGGAAAAAGATTTTGTTAACAAGAGAGGCCAAGAAAAATCGCTGGAAATTATTTTCAACTTTCTAGGTTTACCGCTAGACTCACGTCACGTGGAAATCGTCGAGTATTGAAATGCACACTTTTGAACACGTAGTCAACCCACCTTACTTTAGTCTGACGCGCTCGAGAAAATCCCAAAAATTTCCTACGTCCTACTATTAGGTATCTTTTTATAATTGATTGTTAGTATTTGTCGAGGTATTTGACATGGACATAGGTTAAGGTTTTAACGTGTCAACAATCATTTTACCTTTTGCCATAGCCTCTTCGGTGGTGAGGGTGGCAGTGAACTGCACAGCGGTGGTACTGGTGATCGTCGATGTGCTCGCCACAGCAAATTTTTTAAGATGTAGTCGAACTAAAGTACAAAACTAAATCTAATTAACCCGCTTCTGTTTCAGACACGAACAGTTCTTGTTCCTCCGACTGACCCAAAACGTAAGTGGAAACAGAAGACAACAACAATTAAAATAACGTAATAAGTTGCAGAGGACATAAATTCGTGGAAAATCGAACATGAGTACACCGATGGAACAAACATATTAGGTTTGGTGGTATTCTCGACCGTTATGGGGATCACACTGGCCAAACTGGGGGAGAAAGGCGAGCCTCTCGCAAAGTGTTTTGAGGCACTATCCGAGGCAATGTTAATCATTACGAAATGGGTTATTTACTTGTCGCCATTAGGAGTATTGTTTCTCGTAGCATCTAAAGTGCTGGAAATCGAAAACCCGGAGGAGCTGATCGGTAGATTAGGCATGTACTTTCTTACGGTAATCGTGGGTCTACTTATACAGGGGATTGTAATAATACCACTTACTTATGTGATAATTGTAAGAAAGAACCCTTTCACTTACCTAATAAATTTGGGACAAGCACTTGCAACCGCCTTTGGCACTTCGTCTAGGTATATCGGTGATTAGCGAATTTGTGTCGAAATAATCACACGTTTTAGCTCTGCAACTTTGCCGCTCACCCTACAATGTGTAGTAGAAAAGAATGGCGTTGATAGTAGGATTGCGAGATTTGCATTGCCAATCGGCGCGACAATCAACATGGATGGCACCGCTTTGTACGAAGCGGTTGCCGCTATTTTCATTGCGCAAATTCGCTCCATCGACTTAAGCATTGGGCATTTGGTGGCCATCAGCATTACTGCTACCGCCGCCAGTATCGGCGCTGCGGGTATACCACAGGCGGGTTTGGTGACGATGGTTATGGTTCTGGATACGGTAGGATTGCCGGCCGAGGACGTAACTCTCATTCTCGCCATTGATTGGTTATTGTGAGATAAAGAAAAATATTATGCAAGTTGGATGTACTTCATGCACTGCATTTTAGGGACCGGTTTAGGACCGTGCTGAATGTTATGGGAGATGCTTTTGGAGCAGGAATTGTGTATCATCTAAGCAAAGGGGAGCTAATATCTACTTCCAATCATATTTAAACTTACTTCTGTGATCCAATTAGTCTTAACACAATTTGTGCAATTTAATATAAAGAGCATTAAATAAAGATTTTTTAATCCGCTACTATCATCGTGAGCCACATGAAAAAGTACTCACTGCGATTATAAATTTGACCGTTTCCCTCAAACAAATTGGTGAGCTGTAAAGATGTATCATGACCTCTAAATACTAGTACAGTCAAATTAGATCAAATTTCCACGAATAGCGGAAGTAATTGAAAGAAAGCTGAAAATTGGTATAGCGGTACATTAGGGCTTGTATTCGAACATACTAAAATTCGGGACCAAAACTCCAATGGCTCGAGCCGCCATCTTGGAAAAAAGGTGCTCCAAATCACTTTTTCGCTGATATCTCGGTAACCGTGCATTCTAGCAAGTAAAGTTTCATATAAAAAAAGAAAGATAATAAAATGTTGTATAAAAAAGATGGTATGCACTTTTTTGTATTTTCGTTATTTACGTCTATATTCCACATTGAATATAGAGCATAATCTTTTTTCAGATGTAGGTGCATTACTTTCAGCGCTCGCGTGCTTTAAACATGAATATGTTTAAAAAATTGATCTATAGTTGACATTTTAGGGCCTGTTGACCAGCGAAAAGAAGGACAGTTTTATCTAAAATTAAACACTTACGACATATCGTACGCACTCAACAGATGCGTGTTTTGTATTTCTCGTTAATACAATCACTGTTAATGTATGGAATTGTTGGCTGGGGGTATTTTATGCTAGTGAATCCTTACAAAGCCTTATACAGGGTGGTGCCTAGCACGACGCAGCACAGGGATTTCAATGGTAATTTCTTTATAGTCAATTACTAGCTCTCCTAATTATTTTAGAGCAAAAGTCTAAATAAGTTTTTTTTAGAGAAAAAAATACTGCATCTGTTCATACGATTACTTATAATTTTCCGTTTTTCAAAATGGTAGAAATCGGCATAATAAAAAATTAGATATTTATAAATCAGTGATGCTTGGGAATCTTTTAACAAACTACAAGCGCATCGCATCTAAGTTATCGTTGTTTGACGTCCAACGATTTTTATATTTAATTCTGTAATCTTGTACCTACTGCTTGGAATCGGCCAATTGGGTTACTTAACACTACATACACACGTTACTTGGCGGGCATTATTTCCAGCATAAAACAACTTCAACATTTCGATTTTCTCGTCAGTTAAATACATGATAAACAATTTTATGATTAACTAATTTATAAACTAGTATAAAATATTTAATAAACGTCAAAGGCAAATAATGAAACGTGATCGCTGTTTTTTTAGGTAATTCCAAGGCATATCTGATTTATTGAAAAATGTACCTTTTTATTTTGTTAATTTCTACGATTTGAAAAACGGAAAATTATTATATAAGTAATCGTATGAACAGATGCAGTATTTTTTTCTCTAAAAAAACTTCTTTAGACTTTTGCTCTAAAATAATTATAGGGGAGCTATATTGCCAATAAAGAAATTACCATTGAAATCCCTATGCTGCGTCGCGCTAGGCACCACCCTGTATAAGGAATCAAATGTAATGAATTTACGCCAACTTTACTGTAACAAAATCCTCCAGTTCATAAAAACATCCAAAATTACTGCCCAACATGCACTCTCATTATACCTACACGCCAGGAAGACCATAATATACTTTTTCCAAGGTCTGAGAAAACAATCGGTAAACGATGTGCTCAGTACATTGCTCCAAGGCTTTATTCCATTCTACCGCGCGAAATGGAGAAGATATCTACCTATCCCGCTTTCACGAAAAAAGTTCAGGTGTGGATACTGGAACAGCGCTATGTACTATTTCGCGAATTTTTAATGGAATTGTTTAGTTTAGTTTATTATTTTTAGTATTTTTTTAATGAAATGAAGTCAAGTTTGATTTATATTTTTTTTGTAAATGCCCCATATTCATTACAAGTAGTTCAAACGACTTCGGATTTTGGCAATATTTATTTTTCTTAGTTTCCTTATGTAGGTATCTTTTGTATTCAGCTATATAGTAGAAAAATAAATATATTATTAATACTATTTCCTTCTCTTAGGTGGTCAACAGGCCTTAACAATGTCAGTCAATTTTTTAAACATATGTTTAAAGCACGCGAGCGCGGAAAGTAATGCACCTACATCTGAAAAAAAGATTATGCTCTATATTCAATGTGGAATATCGACGTAAATAACGAAAATACCATCTTTTTTATACAAAATTTTATTATCTTTCTTTTTTATATGGATTCTGGATTACGATAGGAGGGTGAACAGTGTCCACGCGTACTTAGGCCTCAAATTCGGGCCCTTTGTACTACCTCCCTGACTAGGGTCGCCCGACCCCTCAGCATCACTCAAGCCATCCCACACGTGAGATGAACCTTAGGACGCTGGAAGGGGAGGCGGCTCTAATCGTAGCCATGTCCGGCCAGGATTCCCCCAACATGGATCGTCTCAGTTGGACTAGAGCGGGACATTCACAGAGTATGTGGTATGCCGTCTCGTCGTCTGTGTAACATCCTCTACAAGATGGTGATTCCACCAAACCCATGCAGTGCATGTGCTTGTTTAGTTTACAGTGCCCAGAAAGTATGCCCACGAGTAACCTCAGGTTCTTCCTTGATAGCCCTGTACAAAAACGCGCCAAGCTACGAGATGGTCCTCTGAAGGCTTCTCTCGCATGGCGACAATCTAACATCAAGTTCCACCTAGCCCTGTGCTGGGTTTGGGTGTCTTGAGTTATTAGGTTGTTTACAGTTTTAACTGTAAGTGGAAGAGCCGGCTCTGGACCATAAAACGCCTGTTTTGAGGCCAGTCGGGCTAATTTATCGGCTTTCTCATTACCTTCCGTTCCAGCATGCCCTTTGACCCATACGAGCTCAAGGGTGTTGCTGCTTGCTACTTGCTCTAGTACGTGGTGACATTCGGAAACCATCCTAGAGGTAATTTTACAGTGACCAAGTGACTGCAAGGCAGCCCTGCTGTCACTTGAGATTCTGATAGTGACTTTTTTATATGAAACTTTACTTGCTAGAATGCGCGGTTACCGAGATATCAGCGAAAAAGTGCGATTTGGAGCACCTTTTTTCCAAGATGGCGGCTCGAGACATTGGAGTTTTGGTCCCGACTTTTAGTATGTTCGAATACAAGCCCTAATGTACCTCTATACCAATTTTCAGCTTTCTTTCAATTATTTCCGCTATTTTTCCTAATTTGACTGGCCTATACCGGCTAACATACCGATTATCAATTTTAGTTCAAGTCTTGTCTTGACAAGATCTAAACTCCACTCTATGTTGTGATGTAACATATCTGACAGTTTTTGAATTTTATCGTTCCCGCTTTTAGGCATTTCATTAAAAGAGAAAAACGGCACTGGAAATGTTGCGCGTGAAAGAGACAGATGGCTCCGTGTTCCCTTCAAGAAAGAACGAGCTGACTGCGGAGAAAACTTTTTTTCGACACAACTACTACTAAGGTAGCAATGGTGTAAGTGCGTTAGTTTCTTTGCTGTTGACTTAATAGATGCTTTGTTATCATAATTTTGAATTGGTAGGGGCTTTGTCTAAATTAGGCAATAATTGTGAATGAATTAGCAGTTAAGTAGGGATGGTACTTTAGGAGCGGATCTTTGAAACCGTTCCCGTCAAGATATTTCAATTGCCTTTGTGGAGCCTTCAATGACATTACTTCAGGATTATTGATTGTCAAAATCGGGTGAATAAAATGTTGTACAGACTGCCAGATCAGCAAGAGCTTCTCGTTTGCGTTTGTTGCATTTTGGCCAGCAGTATTATGAAAAAGGAGAACAAGAGGAAGAAAGGGAGAGAAGGTCGGGAGAAGAGAAAACCTAAAACAAATCAAACAGCCCAGACAAATGGAAATTTGTCGAATCACGTATAGTTAAAAACTGCATGGAATTCTCCAGTGGTGTCCCAATCTTAAGATAGACTCAATGGACTTTCCCGAAGTTTTCAATTATTTTTCGGAATGTAAATTTTCAAATATATCTAATTTTACGGTATACGGAATTTAACAGCCAAATCAGATGAAAAACTTTGTTATTTCTGAGGTGCATTTTCACTTTATTTACATATAAGTGCAATGACCCACCAACTGCATTTAACATCCCTATAAATTGACCAAATCAATTCCAACATGAAACAGTATGATGTTATTAGGTGTTTTTCAGTAAAAGTTCGCAAAAAATGCTGTCTTACAGAACTTACAGAGATTAAATGAAAATTTAGTGGTCCACTGAAATGTCCACGTGAGATCACACACTAAATACGCAGCTTTCATTTGGTTTTGAGAATGAAAAACGCTTTTCGTAAAATGTGGCGCATGCACTTTGCGGAAAATCTTTAACCTTCATCACCTGTTGTTAGGAAAATTCAACATCCCGTCGAACTTCTACGATCCTGCTACGTATTTTCCGAAAACGGCGCTTTTCCTCCCATTTATGGAAGTCATTAAATGAATTCGGGGATCGCGGTTTACACATTTTTACAAATGACAATTAAATTATAAACCGCCCCATCAAATCTCGATATTCGGTCACGTTACCGTTTGAGTGACACGTTTACCTACAAGAAACAGGAAGTGAGATACCAGGAGGGCATCATACGAAAGGATAGTTCCGGTCGTAGTATTGATCGCTCGCGATCCTGTTCTCCTCGTAGTTCGGTAAGGTAAGATTCTCAGGTGGGGCTTCGCGTAATTTTTCCTTAGGGTGAAACTTAAATGAAAAACGTACTTGCTAGAAAGAAATTTTTCGCGTAAATAAACGAGTTGTAGTGAGCTTTAACTATACGGTTTTTACGAAGTACGTTTTGCAAAAAGAGTAGTTTGAAGGAATTCGGTTTCTTTAATAACGGGATCTCAGCAGAGGGTAGAAGGTTGAGGAATTTTCGGAATGGAGAAATCGCAAATTTGAGCGTTGGGCGTTAACGGCGCAGCCTCGTTTAGAAGAATTTTGTTAGGCGGAAAACAGAATAGGGAACGAAGTTTTTCCCAAAAAGTTGATGGAACGCCGTTGGTTCTAAATAAGCGC